TTTACTTACATACAATACTACTCACCCATTTTAAGTGCACAATTTGATAAGTTCCTACAACTGTATATAGTCATGTATCCACCACCACAATCAAGATGCAGAATTTTCCCACCATGTCCTTTACAGTCTACCCCTCCCTCATCTATAGTCCCTGGCAAGCACTGTTCTGCTTTCTGTGACTATAGTTTGCATTTTCTAGACCATTATGGAATAACAAAGCATAGTCTTTTGTTTCTAGCGTCTTCCCGCTTAGTTTTATCCATGGTATTGCATGAATCAATTTATTCCTTTTTTATTTCTATTTGTTTTACAGAAACAGGGTCCCATTGTGTTGGCCCAGGCTGGTCTCGAACTCCTGGGCTCAAGTGATCCTCCTGCCTTGGCCTCCCAAAGTGCTGTGATTACAGGCATGAGCCACCACACCCAACCTCTTTTCCTATTTATTTATTTATTGAGGTGGAGTGTTGCTCTTGTCGCCCAGGCTAGAGTGCAATGGGGCAATCTCGGCTCACCGCAACCTCCACCTCCTGGGTTCAAGTGATTATCCTGCCTCAGCCTTCTGAGTAGCTGGGATTACAGGCATGTGCCACCACGCCCAGCTAATTTTGTATTTTTAGTAGAGACAGGGTTTCTCCATGTTGATCAGGCTGGTCTCGAACTCCTGACCTCAGGTGATCCACCCGCCTTGGCCTCCCAAAGTGCTGGCATTATAGGTGTGAGCCACTGTGCCCAGCCCTTTTCCTTTTTTATATCTAAGAGTATTCCACTGAACAGAGATATCACAATTTAATCATTAATTGTTGGACATATGGCTGTTTCTAAATTTTTGCTTCCATGAATAAGCTGCTACGAACATTTGCCTGCAAGAGTGGAATTGCTAGATCATATGTTAAGGACACGTTTCACTTTATAAGAAACTACCAAGCTGCTTTCCAGTGCATCATTTTGCATTCCCTTCAGCGCCTTCACAGTATCTCAGTATCATACTGACACTTGGTATTTTCCATCTTCTAAGTCTGAGCCACTTTAGTGTTACGTAGTATCTTGCAGTTTAAACTGCTCTTCTCTGACTGCTGACAAGGACTTTAATCTTTCTAAGCTAATTATCAATACATCCTCAGCTTTAATTATGGATAAAAGCGAAGTATATTTTACCATAGTTTTGTAATATTAGCATGCTGTTTTAATAGTATTGTAACACTATTGTATGTTATCGTACTTTTACTTTAAATGTTTTGGGTGGTAGTTTTGGTCAGTTTTAGAATCCACCACTTTAAATCTGTTATCATATATTATCAGGCACCTTGTTAGGTGCTTTTCCTCCATATTTTAGTCCCATAACTATTCTATGAGGTAGGCTTTGGTGTTCCCAGTTTACTAATTGAAACTTAGTATCTTTTCAAAATTTTGTTAGCTTTGACTGTGGCAGTCCCTAGCATTCCATGTGTCTCAGTCTATTATAATTACGACACAGATGGGTTTAGAAAACACAGATGGGTTTTAGAAAACCACCACCTGCTATTGAACCTTCTTGTGTTTTCACCTGTGAGATATCTGCCAAGAGCAACATATGACTGCTTGCAACTTTCATTGATCCAAAGCTGGTGAAGGGGCAAGCCAAATGAGCTGGTATAGATCCCCGGATATTAATGAGTGGGCAAACTCTGCTACAGGGGGACTCTAAAAGGCAAAGAAGGGTTGTGAAAGGCTTGGTCAGAATCTCAGGTGGCAAGAAATGGAGCTCTCTTAGCCATCTGTAAACCATCAGTGTTTCCAAGTCTCACAGCAGTTGGGGTATTCGAACAGCAGTCACAGGTAAGCCTTAATCTTAGAGGACAAATCAAGGGGAACCCAGGAGAGGAGATCCCTCTCTGCCTTTGCTGGTCACCTATCTTGGGTAACTAATTCAGCTAAGGAGGAAGTAGAAAGGTCTTTGTGTCCAGATGATCAATCTCCTTCACTGGCCCTCAGTAGTGTTGGACTGCCCCAGAAGCCATTGGGTATGTCCTTTGGTTAGGGTGACAGGGGGGATAGTCACCCTCAGCCAAACAGCCTGACACCAAGAGAATGTACCTGAAATGACAATTGCCCCTTGGTACAGCTGTTAGGTCCATATATCTCCTCTTTGGATCCAGTTCCAGTCAAGGTCTCTTATTTTCTGTAACCTGCTTCTCCCCTTTCCAGCCACCTGACACCCACCGCACTTGCTTTCCCTTTCTTATCAAAGCTTCTCTTGAAATAATTTAATAATCTCACTCAGTTCACATACTTCTAATGTTTAATGTGCTTCCTTTCTCAGGGATTCTATGCTCTGACTGTGAAGTGTTTAACCAAAGAAACAAATCCCCGGTAGAGTGATAATGTAATAGGAGGTTGAATGGTGATATTTGTGTGTGTACTGGGGTGAAGGTGAGGGTCAGGAGCTATCTAGACCCTGTTCTGGCATCTTCACTTCTAAAATATCTCAATGGCAGCTCCACCTCCTGGAGGAGAGGGTTTTACATTACTTGCCTGTCTCTTCCCACCTGGGGCACAGGGCTTGGACAGCAAGTGGAGAAGGTGTGACTGTGCAAAGTGCCCTCTATGTCCTAAGTACTTTTACTACATTTGGTTTAAATCTTCACAACCCTGCAATGTAGGTATTACATTCATACTACAAATAAATGGGAGACTTAAAAGTTAGATGACGTGCCCCAGGTCACACAGTAAGTGGCAGAACTGGGATTTAAACCCAAGGTCAGCCTGATTCAAGGTTCCTGATCCTTTCCTGATACAATGCCATCTCTTCATTAGTATTTCTTCTAAGAAATTGAGTTTCTCATCATTCCTAAGTGGATGCAAAGTAAACAGCAGTGACCGCCCTCCTCCACTTTCCACCCCAAGCCCTTACTCCACTACTCCAGAAATAGCCTGTACTTCATTCCTTGTCTCAGGAACACTCGCCTCCCTTCCTCCAAATAGACTAGGTAAGTTATCAACTTAGGAAAACAACTGACATATTCTGACAAATATTTATTCTACTATACTCCCAAATTTAACTTCCCAAAAAAAATCTCATTCCTTCTCAAAAATTCCTGCTTAGCTCAATACCTCATATTGTGGGCATTCAATGCAAAAGTACATATGCCAAATGCTTAATAAGATTTAATTTTCTCGAGAGAGAGAGAGAGGTAAATGTGATACGTAAGTCCCATTCCTTTCCCCTACCCAGCCCACGTCTATTAGATATTCAAATGTGATGAAAATTAAAAAGAATGTACAAACATGTTTTAAACTACTAAGAGCACTATCCTTCCATTGCTCTTTTTAGGACTTTCATTGCTCATAAGGACTTAATTTCCTAAGTCCTCCCTTCCCCCACCATGCTTCCCCCAATACCCCCATTCAGCAGTGCTGGTTCCCTCTCCAGTTAGAGGAATGGAAATTGATTGGCTGTCTTGTACAGGGATTCTCAGAGGGCAAGCCAAAGAACTGAAGTTGGTTTTCATGGAGTAAACCAGCTCAACCAGGCCTCCGTGCCTAAGTCCTTGCCGTGAAGACCCAGCCACAACAACACTGCCAGGCAGGCAGTTCATTTTCTCTTAAGAAGGCAGCAGATTCCCCACATCATGTCTGCACTAGAATACTGCAGCCAGCAGGGAGAAGAGGTGGGTCACTTCAATTACATCAGAAAAAATCCAATGGGACCATCAAGGACCTCTGCCATTATGTCCCGACTTTAAAGTCCTTATTATTAAGCAGTCAATGATACCCAGGACTTTGTCACCAAACTTTTACAAATGTCAACATGGCCTTAGGACGGGCCAGACATCCACCTACTCTGTGGCCTTGAACACAGTCAGGCCTCTCAGTGATCTTTCCAGGGCTCCACCCCACCTCGCCACAGAACTCCAGGAGCCATGAAACACGGGAATCTCTCTCTTTCCAAAGCTCAGAAAGAATGAAGGCAGCTACAGTCCAGGGTGAGACCAAGTAGCTGAGCTTTCTGCTTGATGTGCAAAGAGAAAACTCGAGTATCAGGGACACAGGGCCAACTGGCTTCTTATATGTGCCACTGCTAGAAAAAACTAAGTAAAGGGACTACAGGGGCTGGGAAGGAGGCAAGCAGCAACCAGGAAAGGCTGGGTTAGGAAGGAGCACGGCTCCAGAGGAAACCTTTCTGATTCGAACTCTTCCGCTTGTGCTGTCTTCAAGCTCCACTTTCTCATCTCCAGATGAGAGAGAAGTAGAACTTCTGGTTCAAGTGCTGAGGTCCTTTGAGATCTCTGTAAATACAGTTCACTCAGTCAACATTTATTGAATAGTCACTGTTTACTGAGTGTAGAGGAGGGAGGTAGAATCAGTTGAGTACAAGAGTTTAGTCTGAGGTTTGATTGGAAGCCCATCCTGCAATAGTGACTGCTCCTGAAACCCACCAGACCCTGCTTGCTATAGGGCAGAACACTGAGAAACCACGTTTGTTGCATTGTAGAGAAACCACATCCCCCTCCACCTTCCCCCTGGACTGTGTCCTTTGATACATGGAGACAGGTAACAGCTACTGGGATTATCTGGGCTCCTTCACTGGGGCCATGGGAAATTCACAAAGTTCATAGATCCTCTCGCACCTCACAGAAAGCCAACAGCTAAAGAAGAGATGTCCACGAGAGAGGCGTCTAGAAGGCTAAATGAGCAGTGATGGGGGGTCAGAATAGGAAGACCTAGGGCTGCTGGCAGGGGGGGTATTTGGAAGGAGGCAGTGAAGCCCCAAGACAAGGATGACAGGAAATGGGCTCGGCATGTTGTGGCTTCTCCGCCTGTCTACTGAGGAAGTTCAAAGGCTTCTCCTCAGGACAGGGGATGGGAGAGGGGTGAGGAAAGATCTAAGGAAATAAGGACCTCAGAAGACCCCCTCAAATTCAGAACAAAGGACTTCCGGTCTAAATACGTTCTGTATGTTTTCTCCTGAGCTACAACTCAGCAACCTCACCAGGGCCCCAAACAAACCACACATGGCTCACTTAAGGTAGAAACGAAAACCTGCTTTATAAGGCTGCGTGGCCACCACTGGCTTCTCTGCTGAGATATGAGGTGCCAGCCAGGCAGACAGGTGACAAAGGGTGACCCTTCCTCACCTTCTCCCCATCACTACCATCCCCCTGGCCCTACAAATACCCATCTCTGTAATGCAACCACTTCAAAAAATACTCCGAGGAGGGACAGGGTGAAAGGGGTAGGAGTTCAGACTGGTCTGAACAGCAGGCTGGTTCCTGTGAGGTAGCTGATGCCCATGCTCCTGGGCAGAGGCTTTTGGAGAGAGGCCAATTATGTGCTCACAGCCAGAAGGGAGTCACTGGTTGACTGGAAAGTGGAGGAAGTAGAAAGTCTTGAAGTCCGCCCAGAGTACTTGATCACAGGTAACGTCTGAGTGGAAAGGCTGGGCTCTTTGCTGGTGTCCTCACTGTCCTTTGAGGAACTGGGTTTCTGGGGATAAGGGGAAAGGCCAGTTTGAGTCTTCTTGGATTTGGGTGTGGTCCCATCTTCAGAGAGCAGTAGGCTTCCCTCACAGGAGCTGTGTTTTCTGGAGGGAATAGGTGGTGAAAGAAATGGCTGAGACATTATTACTGAGACTTTATGTTAGGATTTGCCTTCAGAGTCTGGAGCAGGCATTCACGACATTACGGTGTTGTAGGCCATAATTACATGGATATGTAATAACCATAAAAAAATATTCTATTTACTTGAAGGCTTGAGATCTGCAGTGTAAGAGTGAATGGAGGTGCGGGTAGAGGGCTAACGACTTCCCACAGCTAGTGGGTATGGCTGACAGTGGTCGCTTCAGGAGGCGCTTCTGTCCTCCAGCTCAGCTTCCCTGGGCATACCAAGAGCTACCGGGAAAAGGATGCTATGGCTGCATGTCCTGACACTCCCATCAACCCCCAGCTGAAGAATGCTGATCTCACTGCCACAGTCTGGGAAGACGGGAAGGAAGAAAACTCTCCAAATTCACAGCCAGCAGCCCATCCCTTGCCCAGGCAGCACTCACCCCAGCTTGCTAGTCTCCGATTTGCTGAAGGCATTGAGTATCACGTCATCCTTTGAGACAGTCAGAAGTGTTGTCGGGAGAGACCACTAAGAGCAAAGGAATCAATGAGACCAAAAGGGCTTGGCAGAGGCAAGGCAGGAGTGTTTGGGGTCTTGGGACCCTCCAGCTCTACCTCTAAGTGGATCATGGGGCTCTCCCCTTCCCTACCCCTCAGGTGTAGGCCCAGGTAGGTAAAAGTCTCAGTTCTCTTCTGAATCAGACAAGAAGTTGAGGCCTACAAAGCACTTTTTGATCCTTGAAAGAAAGGTACCCAGGGAATCCTGGAGGCAACTATTCCCTTGAAAGGAAAGAGTAGTGAGACAGAAGCACAGCCTAGCAGAGAAGTGAGAGAGGCCTGTACATACCAATCCAACTCCTGATGCACTCATAAGGCAGAGGGAGGGGCCTGAGAAGGAGCTGTCCTCCACACTGGCAGCACTCACCACTGGAGCAGAATCAGAGACAACTCCCATGTGGAACCCTTTGTAGCACCAACTCCGGAGCAGATCGACTCCTAGGACAAGATTAGCAGGAGTTGTGGTTTAAGAAAGTAGAATCAACTGGCCAATTCTTCTTTCCAGAGAGGCCTATTTCTTGGTATACTGGGATTTAATCTCTCACTAAACATGGCTTTCTGAGGGCTGGGAGGGCACATCACCTTTAAGCTTGTTGCCATGGTATTTCTGTTCCCATTGAGTGGTGAGAATGTTGAAATATCGTGGCTGCTCAAAAAAGCGGAGATAGCGAGAGGAGATATGAGAAGGAAAAATTCGTTCAAACTGACCACGGCGAGAAAACTCATCTTCCATCTCAACCAGAATCCGAACATCATCTGGTGTCAGAACATCCAGCACAGATGCATAGAAGTCCTGTGGTCCAAGGAACAGGGAGAAAAAGTGTGTGACAGGGAGTGTAAACCAGGAGCAGAGACTCAATAAGCTGGGGGACAGGGAGCACACCCCTGGGGTCCTACAGCTCCAGGACTCTCATGGAACTACTGAGGGCAGCCTAGTGGGCCAGCTCTGAAAGACATCTGTTCCTAAGTCTACTGAACTTAGCTAGTGGGGAAGACACTCTTATTTGGGGTAGGGGGAGCCACTGGGGCTGAGAGGTTAAGTAGTTTGTTGGGTAAAGTCAAGATGAGGATCCAGCAATTCAGATTTGGCACCAGTCCTGTATCTGCCATGCTTAAATCCAGCTCCCTTATCTGCTCTGAGAAAGTCAGCTTCCTGGGGTCTCTCACTGTGCCTCTCAGAGAAAGAAACCAAAGGGCAAAAGTCTACAGCTTGGACAAGAGAGGGCGAGAAAACATGGTAAAGACAATTAATGCTCTCCCAGAATGACAGACATGCCAAAAAATCTCTGTGCATCAGAGGATCACAGGCCTGGATTAAGAAACCCTGCTCTAAAGAAAAGCTGGTTGCAGCCAGGAGCAGAGGCTCACACCTGTAATCCCAGCACTTTGGGAGGCTGAGGCAGGTGGATCATTTGAGATCGGGAGATCAAGACCAGCCTGACCAACATGGAGAAATCCTGTCTCTACTAAAAAATATAAAATTAGCTGGGTGTGGTGGCGCATGCCTGTATTCCCAGCTACTCGGGAGGCTGAGGCAGGAGAATCACTTGAATCCGGGAGGCAGAGGTTGTGGTGAGCCGAGATCACACCATTGCTCTCCAGCCTGGGCAACAAGAGTAAAACTCCATCTCAAAAAAGAAAAAAAAAAAAGAAAAGAAAAGCTGGTTGCTTTTGGGTCCCGAATGTTTAACCAGGGAAGTTTTCTGCTAGCACTAGGGGGAAGACCAACCTCCTACCTGATCAGGAATTTTCTGGGTCAGATAATAGGCTTTCTTCATCTTCTGTGCAGTGACATGCTCTGGAGCCATTCGACATTTGTCCCCGGGGGAGGTGGGCAAGCTACAGCAGAGGCCGGAAAGAAAGCAAAGGGCAGGGTCAGCAGCTTTGTATTTGGAGGAAATATGGAGAAGGTCTAGTCCAGCAGATACCCTTCTCGAGAGAAGACAAAGATGCATGAACAGAGGTTACTTGAGTAGTAGGTTGGACTAAAATACACTCCCCAAAAGTAACCTGAGAGTCATCAAATATTAAGTGAAAGGGTACAAACCACCATCTTTAGGTTGAATTTGAATGATAAAAAATGAGGACCTTGCAATAAGCCTTATTGTGGTATATACTTCAGTTTGTTTTACTTCGGTGAACACTTAACTATATACCCAGCTCTGTCCTACTGGCTGTGTGACCCTGGGCAACTGACTTCACCTCCCTTCACCTCAGTTTCATCACCCACATTACTACAATTACCATAATCACTGTTGAGAGGAATGGTGAGACTCTGTCTCTAAAAAAATAATACTAATGAAAAAAAGATGATTAAAAAGCAACTCTTGCCCCCAAGGAGCTTACGGTATGGCAGGTGGGATACGTCAAATGACAACCACTGGACAGAGCCAAACATTAGTCTACAAGGTACAGTGGGGAAAGCAAGTTTTGTTATCAGGCAAATCAGGATTTGAATTCCAGTCCTACCACTCACCAGTTGAATGACTTTGATAGGCTACTTAATCCCAAAGAGCTTCAGTTTTCTCCTCTGTAAACTGCAGGTACAAATACTAACCTTACAGGGTTATTGGAAGGATAAATTATAGGGTTTTCCTCACACATCTCAGATACTAAGTAAATATAAACTCCCTCCTCTCAAGAGTGGTCCCCAATGCTTTATGGTATGAAAAAAGAAAAAAAAATGGCCATACTGAGTTGGCTTCATGAAGATGTATAAGCTAGACTTTGATGAACAGTAGAGGTTAATGGCAGGTCTGGCTATGGGCATTTCAGGAGGAAGAAACCCCATAAGCAGAGGAAAGAACACTATGGGGAACAGCAAGAGGCAATAAACATTTCAGAGAAGAGACTGGACCAACTGGTCCTTAAGGATCATTCTGACCTTGAGGTTGTGTGAGTGATCCAGTTTGTCAGGGCACAGGAGCCAGGAGAGGAAGAAGAGAGATATACCAAGAAAAAGGAAGCTGAGACCCTGACTGCCCAGGTAAGGAGTTAATTTTTTTTTTTTTTTTTTAGAAACAGGGTCTTGCTATATTGCCCAGGCTAAAGAGAGTACAGTAGTTATTCACAGGTGTGATCATCATAGTGCACTACAGCTTTGAACTTCTGGCCTTAAAAGATCCCCCTGCTTCAGCCTCCCGTGTAGCTGGGACTAGAGACACACACCAGTGTGCATGTTTAAATCTAATTCCTAGGCCTGTGGTTCCTGAGCAGAGGATCAACATAACTGAACATACTTGAGAGGCACTGATGTGGCATGGTAGCATGTTAGTGGACTGTAGGGGTAAGACTGAGCAGCAAGGGAAACCAGGCAGAAGGGAGTACCCAGAATCCATTCCTTCCCAGAAACTACAGCAGGGCTATTCATGCTGCCAGCGGAGCTGTGAAGAAACAGGGGCCTCACCTGGTGGTGGAGCTGCTGCAGCTGCTAGGGCTGGAAATGACATCCTCTGCATTGGGCAGGACAAAACCTGCCAGATTCAGAAGGTCACGAATCATCTGGCCTTTGATGCTGATATCCAGTGGAGAGCTGGAGTGGAGGCTTCAGAAAAAGGATAAAAAGAGCGATCAAAGCAGCACTCCGAAACAGTCTCTGGTCATATGTGCAACTCAGGGCTAGTCTCATTTACTTCCTGGATTCCCTAGGATGAAAGCTGCTCAAACATTCCCATGCAGGATCACCATCACAAGACTCTCTTGCCCCAAAGACGGTGAATAACCTCACTCAGAGTGGTAAACCTGCCCATGACCTTGATCTGCTAAAGGAAAGCAAGCGGTAAGGATCCACTTAAAAAGAACAACTTGCCAGGCGCGGTGGCTCACACCTGTAATCCCAGTACTTTGGGAGGCCGAGGCGGGCGGATGATGAGGTCAGGAGATCGAGACCATGCTGGCTAACATAGTGAAACCCTGTCTCTACTGAAAATACAAAAAATTAGCTGGGTGTGGTGGTGCACGCCTGTAGTCCCAGCTACTCGGGAGGCTGAGGCAGGAGAACTCTCTTGAATCCGGGAGGTGGAGGTTGCAGTAAGCCAAGACCACACCACTGCACTCCAGCCTGGGTGACAGAGTGAGACTCCATCTCAAAGGGGGGAAAAAAAAAAAGAACAACTTACTAGAGTGGCAATGGGAGCGTGAGGATAATGGAAGGATTCTATTGTGAGTGTCCTGAGAATACCACCTACCTTGGGGAAATGTTGACTTCCAGGACCCAGGGCTTGAGGTTTTCGTCTAGCATGATGTCAAAACCAAAGAGTTCGTGGCAGCTATACGGCCGCCGCACATACATCTTGAGCAGACTCGTCACGTAGGGCTCTGACCTGGTCACGGGGATGAGGAAGTACTCAGTTCAGCTCCTCCCAGAGGGCTCTACCCAGAGCTATCCTGCCAAAAGAGTGGCCCAGAGATAGGCAGGCAGAAGCAACCCAGGAAAGGTAGCTGTCAAGAGATGCCTCTGATCTGGGACCAGCTCCTGGGGATAAAGTTCAGTAGATGAGCAGAACTTAACTCTGGCCACTCCTTCCTATTCTCCATCCTTAAAACCAAACCATAGCAGGGGCAAAGTCCAGAGCACAGCAGTGTGAGGCCTGGGAGAAAGGAGGGGGGTCAGCGGCAGGCCCCACACCCAGGTTGGCAATGTGACTCACGAGATGATGGTTTTGACAACAACATCCTTTATCTTCTCCCAGATGGCATCACTATTGACTCCCTTCTGGCTCAGGTAGTTCCACAAAGCCTTCAGTGCCCTGCAGAGGAGAAAGAAGAAGTATTAGGAATTATATTCTAGGAATGAGTGACAAAACAAAGTAAGAAGAGACCTAATGGTATTTTCTTCATATCTCCTCCTTTGACAGTTTAAATTATGAAAGAGACGAACTTGGATGCAAATAGACCAATTCTTTTTTTTTTTTTTTTTTTGAGATGGAGTTTTGCCCTTTCACCCAGGCTGGAGTGAAGTGGCGCGATCTCGGCTCACTGCAACCTCTGCCCCCGAGGTTCAAGTGATTCTCCTGCCTCAGCCTCCTGAGCAGCTGGGATTATAGGCACCCGCCACCACGCCCAGCTAATTTTTGTATTTTTAGTAGACAGGGTTGCGCCATGTTGGCCAGGCTGGTCTCGAACTCCTGACCTCAGGTGATCCACCCACCTTGGCCTCCCAAAGTGCTAGGATTACAGGCGTGAGCCACCACATCCGGCCTCAAATAGACCAATTCTGAATTGGTAATTGTTATCTCTGGGTCTTATATTAATCCTCCACTCACCATGCCCCTGAACTTCCCAAAACCCCAGAACCCTGTATTCCTCTAGGCCTTCACTGGCCTGGGACACTCTGCCCTCAGTACCATTTGTGGCCCTGGCAGGCCATTTCATCTGCATTGGCCTGGTACTCAGCATTCTTTTTATTGACACTGTAGTTGGTCAGGTGCATGAACTTATTGCCAAGGCTCTTCATGGAAGGAGAATACCTGGAAGTAAGCAAAAAAAAGGCAGAGGTAAGATGGTGACAGAGCAGATGGAGAAGGGGCCAAACATTTCCCCAAATACTGAAGAGGTGAAGAACAAGTACACAGATCTTTTCACAGCCACAAGAGCCTGAGAAGTGTGTCTGTTGGCCAAGTTCTGAAAAACCACAGCTAAACTCATCTCCTTTATCCCACCTCAGTCCCGTATGCAGGAAGATATTCCCCAGATTTAACGAAGTAGAGAGCCTCCTTATTTCCCATTTCCTGCCTTCTCCCTTGCTAACAAAAACTATCAAAATATTTGTTATTTTCCTGTTTGGTGTCTTCTAGTTTCCCTCCCTCTGAGGAAAACAAATCCCCAATTTGTCAGAGGATACCTCACCACTGTCACATACTTGCAACTGGCAAAGCGGACCAGTCCATCCGAAAAGAGGTAAATCCGCAGAGGATCGTAGGAAGTGACGTAAACATAGATCCGCAGGTCAAACTTGCTGCCGCTGATGAGGTAGGGTTTGTGTAGATACCTACATAAAACAAAGGCCAGCTTCTCATCCAGCCACATGATGGGGCTCAGTGGGAAACCAAGCTACAGAAAAAGCCAGCTAACAGTCCCCAAGATAAAGACCTTAGAACCGTTGGCTAAGGAAGCTCTTTGGCTGGGAGAACAAAGGGCAGAAGAACATTGTAAGAAGGGAACCTCGAGGCCAAGGAGGTGGGAGGATGGGGTAAGGGATATGTGCTACAGGCTCACCTCTGTACCAGGAGGGGCCTTCGCTTAGGGAGCTGACTCCACTTATGAATAACCTGGATGCCAATGCCTCGAGCTGATGCTGGCTAGGAGCAGAAAGGAGATGAGATTTGCTCCAGGTCCAATACTCTGTTGTTCCCACTCAGACCATAGTCTCCTGCCCACTGTGATTCACTCACTGGCTTCACAATCCACTTTTGGCGGCTGCTGCTCTCCCACGCTTTGCGCAGGAGCTTGGCGTCCTGGGGCAGGATAAAGGACTGGGGGAAGAAACTGAACTCCTTCTTGCCAAAGCGGCTCTGCATGCGTGACAGGTTCCGCCATAGCCGGTCCTTCCTCCCAATCTGGAATGAGCCTGGGAAATGGTTTAGCTACAAAAGGAAAAAGGGTGAGTGCAGGAAGAGGGCAGAAGTGAGGCCATAAGGAAGATGACAAGACTCTACCATTCCAACTTCTTTAGCAGCACTCCAAGCTGTTGTTCCATCTTACTATCACCACCCTAATGGTCCTTAAGTATCCAACTGCAGAGCACTCACCAAAAGATGATTAAAACACAGACAAAACAGAGTAATGTAAGACAGATATGATATTCACCTTAAGTGCAAAGAAAAAGCTATTACACCTTTTCCATGAAACCCTACGGGATGAGGACAGAAAAGCATTTCACCTTTAGTAAGTCTGGGGGCAAGGGACT